GAAACTAATAGCTAAAAAATGTGCACTAAATCCAGCAGTCAGGAGATATATATATTACAATGTCTGTGTGTGTGTCTGTCACTCTACCCCTCTTTTCAGCTCCTACTTGATTGCAAACTCCACAAGAGGAAGTTTTCATTTTTGTACAGTGCATGTCTGTTGAATAACAAAAGAAGGCCAATGTCTGGCATCCCTACCCGTTTTCTCCGATCACACACTGACCTATCTTCTTATGCTGTCCATCTCTGGCACAGTGTCCAGAATGCCACATGATTCCAAGATGAGGTGCTACACCACATGCTTAAATAAAGAGACCCTCAAGCTTTTGGTTTTTAAGTTTTTTGAATTATAAAGTTCAATACTTCATTTTAGTTACCCATGTTCTCCTTGGCTCTTGTATTCATAAATAATTAATAAAGATAAACAAAGGAAGTCATTTAAAGAAGGGTGAGTCCTGGCTGGTGTGGTTCAGTTGGTTGAGTGTTGTCCTGTGTACCGAGAGGTCGCTGGTTCAATTCTGGCCAGGACACATACCCTGGCTGTGGGTTCAATCCCTGGTGCACGAGGCAACCAATCAATGTTTCTCTCTCACATCAATGTTTCTCTTTCTCTCATCCTCTCTCTCTAAAAAAAAAATCAGTAAAAACATATATTTTTTAAAGGGAGAAAAATAATGGATGTAGAGATTAGATATAGACAACCTGATGTCCAAGGATGGTGGTAAAAACTACCTGTGCCCCCACCCTCAGCCAGCCCAATTTTCCTTGCTGTAGATCGTCATTGAGCTAGTTTCTTTAATGCTTCAGACACCTCTCAGCTCTGACTTCACTCACCAGTTAGAGCAGGCCAGAAGGGCATCATGTGGATCACTGGCACTTTGCTAGGTAATTAATTAGCTTTAAAACCATGCCAGATATGATCCTAAGTGCTTTGAAGAAAACATAGCAATTTACTTTTATGGAAAAGATCAAGTGCTCATACTTGCTACAAATATCCTGATTCAGAGGAAACAGCATATGGTTACAAAAATAACTTGATGACTAATCACTTGACAATCCCAAGTCCAGATACCAAAAGGCTTCATGATAAATGAGAGGTGTTTAGGTGCCAGGTGATTTATTTAAAAACTAGAAACCTGGTGCACAAATTCATGCATTGGTGGGGTCCCTCAGCCTGGCTGGTAATTGGGGCCATTTGCCTAGTACAGGGGGAGGGACTGTGGGAGGTTGGCTGGCCACAGGAGGTTGGCTGGCCATGGGAAATTGGCTGTGGGGACACACTGATCACCAGGGGGTAGCTCCTGCAATGAGTGTCTGCCCCCTGGTGATTAGCGCATATTGAAGCTACTAGCTGGTTGTCTGGTCTTAACAGTTGCTTAGGCTTTTATTTATATATATAGATTAGATCCTGGCTTAAGCTATGGGGTTCTGCTTCTGACTTACTTTCCCTGGAGCTCAGAGTTTGTGAGGTTCAAATTACACTGAAAACAGGAAAAAAATATTCTGAATAAATGATCTGCTACAGACTATAAAGATAAGATGCAGAGAGAAAAAAAAGAGCAGAAAAATGGGGTATTTTAAAATTAAATTTTCAATAATCCCAATCAATTGTTATTTATTAAGCTAATAAAAGAGAGCAATATTTTAGACAATTAAAATTAGTTTATAGCTGGGTTTGAGGATTAGATTTTTTTAATTTTATTTTATTGTTTAAGGTATTACACATAGCAGTAAATATATCTCATTCTTTCTCTCATTGACCTTTCCCCAGCCTCCCCTAACCCCTTTCACATGCCATGATCCCACCCCCATGTCATGTGTCTACTGGTTGTGCTTATATGCATACATACAAGTCCTTCAGTTGATCTCTTTCCCCCATCCCCAACACTCTCCAAACTTCCCACTGTAATTTTACAATCTATGTGATGCTTTACTGCCTCTGTATCTTTCTTTTTGTTCATCAGGCTATAATGTTCTTTATTTTCCATAAATGAGTGAGATCATGTGGTATTTTTTTTTTTATTGCCTGGCTTATTTCATTTAGCATAATGCTCTCTAGTTCCACCCATGCTGCTGTAAATGGCAAGAATTCCTTTTTTTTTTTTTTTTTTTTAATAGCAACGTAGTATTCCATTGAGTAGATGTACCATAATTTTCTAATCCACTCATCTAATGATGAGCATTAAGGCTGTTTCCAATTTATTTTTATTTTTTTTATTTACTATTTTTAAAATTTTAGTTTAGTTTGGTATTAAATACATCTTTATTGCTCAGATTATTACAATTGTTCATCTTTTCCCTCACCATAGCTCATCTCCACCCAGTTCCCACCCCACCTCTGCCTTACCTCCCCAAAACTGCCCTAATCCATAGGTGTACAATTTTTGTCCAGTCTCTTCCCACACCCCCATACTCTTTTCTCCCTGAGAACTGTCAGTCCACTCCTTTTCTATGTCCCTGATTCTATTATATTCACCAGTTTATTCTGTTCCTCAGATTTTTAATTCACTTGATTTTTAGATTCACTTGTTGATAGGTATGTATTTGTTGATCATAATTTTTATTTTTACCTTTTTCTTCTTCTTCTTCTTAAAGAATACCTTTCAACATTCCATATAATACTGGTTTGGTGATAAACTCCTTTATCTGTGAAGCTCTTTATCTGCCCATCAATTCTGAATGATAGCTTTGTTGGGTAGAGTAATCTTAGTTGTAGGTTCTTGCTATTCATCACTTTGAACATTTCTTGCCACTTCCATCTGGCCTGCATAGTTCCTGTTGAGAAATCTGCTGACAATTGTATGGGTGCTCCCTTGTAGGTAACTAACTGTTTTTCTCTTGCTGCTTTAAATATTCTCTGTCTTTTGCTCTTGGCATTTTAATTAAGATTTGTCTTGGTGTGGTCCTTTTTTGATTCCTTTTGTTTGAGGTTCCAGGAAGCTCTTTACTTAACCATCTATTTTGAATGGGTTCTGTGTACTTCCTGAATTTGTAAGTCTATTTCTTTTATCAGGTGGGGGAAGTTTTCAGTCATTAATTTTTCTAATAGGTTTTCAGTATCTTGCTCTCTCTCTCTTCTTCTGGCACTTCCATAATTCTGATGTTGGTATGCTTGAAGTTGTCCCAGAGGCTTTTTACATTTTCTTCATCTTTTGGATTCTTTTTTCTTTTCCGGTTGATTGTTTCTCGGTATTTAAAATCTTTGACTTGATTCTTGCGATCCTCTAGTCTGATGTTAGATCTCTGTATAATATTTTTTATTTCAGTCAGTGTATGCTTAATTTCTAGTTGGTCCTTTTTCCTATCCTTGAGGGTCTCGCTAAATTTATCAGCCTTTTCTTGAAAATCTTTATAACCATGGTTTTGAACTCTATATCCAATCGTTTGTTTTCTTCCATTTCTTTCATTTGTGATTTATTTGTCTCTGCATTTTGGCTGCTTCCCTGAGTTGATAGAGTGGCTTTGTGTGCTAGGTGTCCTGTAGGGCCCAGTGGCTCAGCATCCCCAGTTACCTGAGGTGGACACTCTTGGTTCACCCTTTTCTGGGCTATGTGCACAGTCTTATTGTAGGTAAGCCTTGATTACTGTTGGTTTCAGTGGGAGGACTTGACTTCCAGGCCAATTGGCTATGAGGATCAGCTGTGTCTACACTGGGAGAACTTCTGTGTTGGAGACATCCTTATGGGAAAAGACTTGCAAAGACCTCTGTGCTGAGCTTGGATGGGGCAGAGTCTTAGGGTGGAGCAGACAGCATTGGTTTCCCATCAGCCCTACCCTAATAATCCCCTGTGTCTCAGTTTCCCGTGGTAATCACTATAAGCATCTCTGAGAGAAAGCTGCCCTTGGGTTCCACCTGCTGCCAGACAGTCCAGTTTCTCCCCAAATCAGTCTGGATCCCCAGAGTCTCACCTGGAACTGGAGTTCAGTGCAGTGGGGAGCTTTTGTCTCCCTCCTGCTTGAGAAAGCCTGTGTCATACTCAGTTACCTGTCCTCATGCGTGTGCGCCTCGGTACCTCTGCCTTCCGCAGTTCCTCTGAGACTTAGCTTAGTGTGCTTTTCTCTTTCCTGACAGTCCGGTTTCACTCAGTATGAGTCTGGGTCCCCAGAATTTCGCCCGAAACTGGAGTTCAGTGAAGTCTGGAGTTTCTGTCTCCCTCTAGCTTGAAAATGGACAGCTGCGCCCTCAGTTGCCAGTCCACTCTGTGCACATGTCTCAATACCTCTGCCTCTTGCAGCTCCTTTGAGTCTGTGTACTTTTCTTTTTCTTTCTTGTTATTGAATTACCACTCAGCCTGCCTTCCTGTGGTTCTGGATGATGTTCATTTTGTCTTAGTTGTAGTTTTGAAATTGTGCAAGGGAGCAGTTTAGGTGTTTATCTATGCCACTATCTTAGTTTCTCCTATACTTCATTTCTTTTTGGTTGGAAGTTGATAATTGCTTTCTTTCTGCAACCATTTTGTTTCTAATGAAATACCAATTCAAGCATAAACTTTCAAGAAAGATGATTCTTTTTATTCTCCTTTTTATATTTCTTCATTACAAAAATTTCCCACAGTATATATGCATATTTGTAATAAAGAACAATACATGTTTATAAAATTAGAGTTTTATAGACATCTATACCAAGCAATAATAACATGCTTAACGTTTTCTTTTAGCTATTTCTTTGAATCTATCTCTATGCTCATTAGCCTATATGAAAAACTCTCTACATATTTCTGTATAAATATAGTCTGTTTTCAACCCAATCTCTCCAGTTAACATTCCTTTATAATACTGGTTCATCTCAATCATTTAATCCACTTTGCCTCCCAAGAAAATTTAGGGAAAGCAATATTTAGTATGGTCTTTATTTCGCAGTGTAATAGAATATTCAATAAATGCTTATTTGTTGAACCTGATGGAGTTCAATGAGAATGAAGAAGTTTGAGTATACAGAAATTAATGTAAAACTATGCAGATACAAATATTTGCATATTAAACTATATGCATAAAACCTACCAGAAGTGTTTGTCCTTGGGAAATGAAGAAATGACCTGATATAACTATGGTGAGAACAAGATATCCAGATTCTTCATTGGAGTCAAAAACCTTAATAAAGAGAGAAAAGTACATATAAGGCAATATATTTTTGTAATACTAACAAACATAAAACTGGTAACCAAACTATATTCTCACATTAATCTTCCTACCCTGAATGTTTCCTTTCTTCCCATTTAATCTGTAATTATTCTAGAGTTTCAAGTTTATCCTCATATAGGGGCTTAATATCCAAGCTTCTTAAAAGTGTAACTTTTTGAAACAAACAAAATACTAGATTGAGAATCAAATGTAAGGTCTGGCCGAAACCGGTTTGGCTCAGCGGATAGAGTGTCGGTCTGCAGACTGAAGGGTCCCGGGTTCGATTCCAGTCAAGGGCATGTACCTTGGTTGCAGGCACATAGCACGGAATGTACAGGAGGCAGTTGATCAATGTTTCTCTCTCATTAATGTCTCTAACTCTCTATGCCTCTCCCTTCCTCTCTGTAAAAAATCAATTATATATATATATATAAAGAGTGATCAGAGTGATCTTAGATCAATCAAGCTTTCAGAAATTGCCTCATCTATGTTGGTATATAGTATTTTCACTTTCTTCATCTGAACCTAAATATAAGACCTTGCATTTAATCCCAGTTAAATTTACCTGGTTAAATTTGGTCTACAGTTGTGGAGTTGAGGCAATTAAATACAAATGTCAAGGATGACATAACTGATATATAATAATAAAAGTGTAAGTGCTAATTAGACTGGACAGCCAAACAACCTTCCAAATGTCCTTCTGGATGACCTTCCAGACGAAACTGGGCTGCAACGGCCGAGGCAAGCCACCGTGACTGCAAGGGCCGAGCCCCATGCATGAATTTCGTGCACCAGGTCGCTAGTAGGTACTTAAGAGAGGGATTTGGGCCGAAACCGGTTTGGCTCAGTGGTAGAGCATTGGTCTTCAGATTGAAAGGTCTGAGGTTCGATTCTGGTCAAGGGCATGTACCTGGGTTTTGGGCACATCTCCAGTAGGGGGTGTGCAAGAGGCAGCTGGTCGATGTTTCTCTCTCATCGACATTTCTAGGTCTCTATCTCTCTCCCTTCCTCTCTGTAAAAAAATCAATAAAATATATTGTTTAAAAAAGAGAGAGGGATTTGGGTCTTAAGGGACTACTCTGAATAAGCAGCTTTGATATCATTAATACTAGTAAACATCCTTATAAAAGTACTAAGAAATTATTGACTCACATTAAGGCTCAAAGTTCAAAATAATGAACACACATCTAACTCAACTTAAATATAACTTCATAAGATTACTGAATTTTATTGACAATGTTCTATCTTATAGTTTCATATGTGGGGTTTGGAGCTTTAATGCCATATTTAAACTCAAGAGCATCTACCAACTTTTTTCTAATTCACTTAGAAAATCAAATATTATTTTAGATGTCAAGGTGGAGTATGTTAAGCTCTGCACTATTCCTACTATTGTTTTTCTGCCTCTTTCCTAGTATCAGAAACTCAGAGATCATCTTTCTTATCCAGACATTTCCTATATGGGCAGTCATATCTGGGGGAAAGACAGTAGATAACTTATTGAAAAATATCTTTCCCAACAGTGAAAAATGGTTGAAGGCCATTAAGAGACCGAGAATAGTAATTAGCCTCCAGGCAGAAGCAATTGTCCCACCCTGTTGAAAACAACAACAACAACAAAAAACAAACAAACAAACAAACAAACAAAAAAACCAACTCTAGCCGTCTCTGCGGACAACTGCCTCAGGGAAATTCAAGACAAAATCCTATCAATCAGGAGAGAGAGGGGCAGTCTCTGGAGGCTTTGAATTTTGCCTGATCTAAATTAGTCATAAAGAGCATTTGACACTGTTCTAAACTAGAAATTGATGTGTAGCAGATCTACCTAATACATAGTCTCAAAACCAAACAGGCATCCAAATGAGGAGACAAAGAAACAACCCCGAAATGAAAGAACTAAAGAATTCTACAGAAGAAAAGATAAATGAAATGGAGATAAGAAATATATCTAATATAGAGTTCAGAATAATGGAGGTAAAGATGCTTAACAGTATGAGAAAAGATACAGTAACTATAAAAACAGAAATAAATAAAGAACACTTTAGAAGAAATACACAGCAGATTAGGGGAATATGAATATTGAGTCAGTGAATTAGAAGATAGGATTGAAAAAAAATCACTCAATCAGAGAAAAATAAAACAACTGAAAAACAGAAGGACAGCTGAAGGAAGCTTGTTACAATATGAAAATGTAACAATATTCGAATAGCAGGTGTGCCAGAAGCGCAGAAAAGGAGAGAGAGATAGGGAACATATCTGAAGAAATAATAGCCAAAAACATTCCTAACATGGTAAAGAAAAAGTCACACATGTCCAGGAGGCACAGAGAACCTAAAGCAAGAAGAACCCAAACAGGCCCTGAGGGCAGTTGAGGGCAATCAGGCCTGCAGGGGAGAACAGTTGGGGGGACCCAGGCTTGCAGAGGAGGGCAGTTGGGGGACACACAGCCTTGTAGAGGAGGGCAGTTAGTGGGGGACCAGGCTCACGGGGGAGGGCAGTAGGGGGGGGGGGGCAGGCCTGCAGGGAAGGGCAGTTGGGGGTGCTTGGGTCAGCAGGGGAAGGCTATTGGGGGCGAACAGGCCTGCAGGGAAAGGGAGTTAGGGGTGACTGGGCTGACAAGGGAGGGCAGTTAGGGGTGACTGGGCCAGCATGGAAAGGCAGTTGGGGCCGGGAGGAGGGGGGCAGGCAGGCCTGAAGGGGAGAGCAATTGGTGGGGGAACAGGCCCTCAGGGGAGGAAAGTTGGTGGGGGGAACCAGACCCGCAGAGGAGGGCAATTGGGGATGACCAGGCCTGCAGGGGAGGGCAGTTAGGGGTAATTGGACCAGCAGGCGAGAGAAGTTAGAGGCAATTGGTAAAGGGGTTATCAGGCTGTCAAGCAGAAGTGATTAGGGGCAGGCAGGCAGGCAGGCAGGCAAGCAAGTGGTTGGGAACCAGCAGTTCTGTGTTGTGAGAGGGATCCCAGATTGGAAAGGGTGCAGGCTGGGCTGAGGGACCCACACTCCCATGGTCGGTCTCTCTCTCTCTCTCTCTCTCTCTCTCTCTCTCTCTCTCTCTCTCTTTCTCTCTCTCTCATATATATATATATATATATATATATATATATATATGTGTGTGTGTGTGTGTGTGTGTGTGTGTATGCAAATTAGCCGGACACCATAACATCATGACCACTCAGGAGGAGGCTGCACACAGGTGGGCGGGAGGGACTGTGTGCCTGGTGATGCAAGCTACGAAGGGCACTGGCCCAGAGAGAATAGGGCCTGCCAGTCACCATGGCTGTAAGCAGGCCCTGTGAGTAGGCCTACAGACAAGAGGGCTTGCCAGAAACACCTTTCTGACTGCTTATTGGCTAAACTCCCCGTATGCCACTCTCAGTGTTCTTGGTAACCTGGGTAATAAGAATCCAAGAAGGTGATCTAGGTTTTTTCCATCTCACTCCTGGAGGAAAAACAAAGGTGTGGTGCTGGAGGGGTTAAGAAATGTTATATTCTGCCAAAACCGGTTTGGCTCAGTGGTAGAGCGTCGGTCTGCGGACTGAAAGGTCCCGGGTTCGATTCCGGTCAAGGGCATGTACCTGGGTTTCGGGCACATCCCCAGTAGGGGGTGTGCATGAGGCAGCTGGTCGATGTTTCTCTCTCATCAACGTTTCTAGCTCTCTCTCTCTCTCCCTTCCTCTCTGTGAAAAATCAATAAAATATATATTAAAAAAGAAGAAGAAAAAAAGAAATGTTATATTCTGCCCTAGCCAGTTTGGCTTAGTGGATAGAGCCAGGCCCAGGTTCAATTCTGGTCAAGGGCATGTACCTAGGTTGTAGGCCCCTCCCTGGGTGGGGCCCAGGTCAGGGCTCATGCAGGAGGCAATTAATTGAAGTGTCCCTCTAATATTGATGTTTCTCTCTGTCTTTCCCTCTCTCTTCCATGCTCTCTAAAAATCAATGAAAAAAACATCCTCAGGTGAGGATAGAAAGAAATACCATATCCTATATAAGAGACATCTTGAAATTGCCTAAAGAAAGTTGTCATTTTTTCGTGGGGGACTGGATTCCATGCTGATGAAAACACCTTGGCAGCAGCAGCAGGGTGATGGGGGTGGTACCTTCTCCTGACCAGCCTGGTCGGCTCTTGCAGAGAGAGACCAGACTGAAGCTTAGGACAGACTGCAGCTCTCCTAAGAGCTCCTGAATTGGAGAGGGTGCAGGTTGAGCTCAGGGACATCCACCCCCATGCACAAATTTCATTCACCGGGCCTCTAGTTGATATATAACGTTGTATACGTTTAAGATGTATAACCTAATGATTTGATATATGTATGTACAGTGTGGGACAAAAGTAGGTTAATAGTTGTTCATATAGAAAATAATACAATATTTAATAAATAATCTATAATAATAAAAGCATAATATGCTAATTAGACAAGACAGCTAAATGACCTTCCAGACAACCTTCTGGAGGAAGCTGGGGATTCGAGGGCCGAGCCCTTTGCATGACTTTCTGTTTCATGTATTCATACTGTAAACCTACTTTTGCTCTAACCCTGTATTGCAAAATGATCACCATAATAAGTCTATTTAACATCCATAACCTCACGTATAGCTTTTTGCCTTATGATGAGAACTTTTATATCTCCTCTTAGCAACTTTCAAATATATGCAGTGTACTAGTATTGTTTATTATTATCACCATGCTATACATTACATCCACAGGACATATTTATCTTACAACTAAAAGTTTGTACCTTTTTACCACCTTCACCCACTTTATACTTCCCCCCTTTCTCTGTCGTCTATTCTCCACCAATTTGTTCTCTGTTTTTATGAGTTTGGTTTTTCTAGATTTTATGTATAAGTGAGATAGATCATCTAGTATTTGCCTTCCTCTGGCTTATTTTACTTAATAAGGTTCATCCATGTTGTTGCAAATAGCAGAATTTCCTTCCTTTTGTGACTAAGCAATATTCATATCCTATCTA